AATGACTAAGGTATATTTTATTAGCCAAGAATAGAACTAATTTGGCCAGGCATGGTGGCTCACGCCTGTAATCCCAGCACTTTGGGAGGCCAAGGCAGAAGGATGGCTTGAGGCCAGGAGTTCAAGACTAGCCTGGGCAACATAGAGAGCCCCCCACCCCACAACTCTACAAAAATAATACACTTAGCTAGACATGATGGTTCATGCCTGTAGTCCCAGGTACTCTGGAGTCTGAAACGAGAGGATCACTTGTGCCCAGAAGTTCTAGGCTGCAGTGACCTATGATTGTACCACTGCACTGTATGTAGTCTGGGTGAGTGAGATCCTGTTTCTAAAAAAATAAATAAATAAAAATAAATAAATAAGTCAATAGATTCTGTCCAAAATTGATAAATCAAGAACCAGTGGCCAGGCATGGTGGGTCACGCTTGTAATCCCAGCACTTTGGAGGCCAAAGTGAGAGGATTGCTTGAGCCCAGGAGTTTGAGACCAGCCTAGGCAACATAGTGAGACCTTGTCTCTACCAAAAAAAAAAAAAAAGCTGGGCATGGCCATGGTAGCGTGCACTTACAGTGCCACCTTCTCAAGAGGCTGAGGGGGAAGGATTGCTTGAACTCAGAAATCTAAGGCTGCAGTGAGCCATGATCACACCACTGTACTCTACCCTGGGCAATGGTGTGAGACCCTGTCTCAAGAAAAACAAAAACAAAAACAAAACAAAACAACAACAACAAAAAACAGCAACATAAGCTAATTATTCGGACATAGGGAGGTAAGTGATCAAACAGCCAAGAGTTCAAAATGATTGCCTCTGGAGACTGGGACTGTTGTTTTAGTTATAAGCTTTTAATATACTCTCATAAAATTAGGTGAAAGCATTATGACGATAACAATTTAAATTAAAAGAAAAATTTCCGATGCAATTATGTAATCAAGTGTATCCATATATTATCCCAACTAGATAATTCCAACAAATAGAGATGCAGAAAGCTTCTTGGTGGCCTTAGAATTAGGGAGAAAAGGTCTAATGAGCAGCTAGTTCAGGAGACCTGAAAAGAAAGCTGCCTCAGCCCACAACACTTGGACGGGTGGCAGGGAGTCAGAACAAACTAAGATCTGCCACTAAGGCCTCCCAAGTCACACGATTTTGCTAAATAGGGTACTTACTGCTTTCTGGAAAACTATCAATGTTCTCTGTGGAAGATGAAGAGTGGAGTTCTTTTTAGTTTCCTATTCTGCAATTTGGTTTTTCTTCTGTGCAACCCTCTTTACACTTGATGTTTTCGCTTTTACTTTCTTTCTATTAATCTGCTTTCTCCTTAGTTTTTTCCCCTTAACAGTTTTATTTTACTCTCTAATCTTAAATTCTTCCTGCTATCCACACCCTGCATTTCTCTAAGTCTTGGCTAATGCTCATATTCATAATGCTTATGTCAGGCAATTTAGATTTTTGTCTCGATTTTCCAGGTGGTTAGCTGAAATCCTTTTTTTTTTTTTGATTCAGAGTCTTTCTCTGTCTCCCAGGATGGAATGCAGTGGCATAATCACAGCTCACTGCAGCCTTGAACCTCCCAGGCGCAAGCAATTCTGCTACCTCAGTCTACCCAGTAGCTGGGACTACAGGCATGCGCCACCACACCCAGCTAATTTTTTAAAATGTTTTATAGAGACAGGGTCTCACCATGTTGCCCAGGTTGGTCTCGAACTCCTGGGCTCAAGCAGTCCTTCTGTCTCAGCCTCCTAAAGTATTGGGATTACAGGCCTGAGCTACGGCGCTGAGCTATCACTTGGCTTTTTTGTTTTTCTTTTCCTTGAAATGGAGTTTCACTCTTGTTGCCCAGGCTGGAGTGCAATGGCGTGATCTCGGCTCACCACAACCTCCGCCTCCCGGGTTCAAGGGATTCTCCTGCCTCAGCCTCCCAAGTAGCTGGGATTACAGGCATGTGCCACCATGCAAGGCTAATTCTGTATTTTTTTTAGTAGAGATGGGGTTTCTCCATGTTGGTCAGGCTGGTCTCGAACTACCAACCTCAGGTGATCCACCTGCCTTGGCCTCCCAAAGTGCTGGGATTACAGGCATGATCACTTGACTTTTGAACATAACTTGTCCATCTGTAAAACTGGTTAATATTCCTCAGGATGCTGCATAATAATGGCTAAGCTAACCTTGAAGTTCTTGAGAGAAAGTAATTTAAGAACTATGATGTGGTTAATTCAAGTTGTAGACTATTATCTTCATATGCAATTTGAATATTTTCTTCTTCTCCTGAAAATTAAAACTTCAATTCTAGAGACCTTTTTGTAGAATGACAATAGGAAATGTCAAAATACAGAATGAAACAAATTTTATCAACAGTTTGTCCCTTCAACAAGTGAAAGAAAATCAACCAATGAATTAAAGCTCTTTAATCCCTAGAGAAATACAGTGATCAGATTCAAAGAATGAAGTTGGATTTAACGTTATATTTTAATTTTTAAGTTTCTCAAAATGAAACTATGTATGTGACTAAAAACATTAACCTACTAAGACAAAAATCTTTGCTTTTCTTTTTTAAAAAATGTATAATAAGTCTGGCATGCACCTGTAGTCCCAGTTCCTCAGGAGTGTGAGGCGGGAAGATCTCTTGAGCCCAGGAGTTTGAGACATGACTGGGCAACATGGCAAGACCCAGTCTCTAAAAGAAAAAGAAAATAAAACTGTAAGTCTCAGGGCTTCAAACTGTCCCATCACATGCTATCAATGTTAGAATTTGAAGCTCAGAAATTGTGGATGTGTAATGAGTTATGGTTCTTTAAAGAAACCAACATTTGCTGATAAAAGCATTTGAAATGGCACCACTGTTTGCCCCAAATAAAGCCTTCTCAACTAAAAACCTAGGGTTAAGCCAAGAATATAAAGGGCTCTATAACCTATCTGTAGTTATTACTGGGGAATTTAGATTTCATATAAACCTGTCTTTATTTTAAATGTAGTTAGAAAAAAAGCACACACCTCAAACCAAATATCCAATCCACATTTTTTCCTAACACAGAAGGAGGCTTCTTTGAAGGTTTTTCCAGGTTTACCATTTAACAGTGGTCCAGCTAAAAATAAACCCATGAGGGTTTACAAGGCAAATTCAATGGCAAACCAAACACTAGTCCATGGGGAGCTGGATTCAGCTTTTTCCCCACTAGCCTCTCCCAGGACCCCCACCTATATTCTCCCATCTCATAATTAGAAAGCTAATTAGGCTTCCAAATGTAAATGCTAAATGGAGAGGGCGATCTGGGCTCAGGCCAGGATTCCTGGAACATCTAACACCCTGCTCTGTCCTCTGTTCCTGCAGTGAGCTGTGGGAAGAGAGCTGGGCCGCATGACTATTTGGGGCCATTTAACTTGCTGGAGGGCAGTGTTTACTCTCATTTGTGTGAGCAGAAAGTTGTGTTGCACAGACTGCAAACTCTGAAAAAAAAAAATTAAAAAAAAACACAACAACATGCATTGGGATTTTAGTACTTTAAGGGAAAAAGTAAGTACATTTTCATAAACTCGGTTATTACCATGGTTACACGAGGGTACAAGAGAAGGTCCTCTGGAAAACAGTTCCTGGTTCTAGCTAGACAGCCTCTCAATAGTGCAGGGCGACTTCTTCAGTAACCATGACAACCAGAATTAGAAGTGCCGTTGCAACACTAGCAGAAACCATCTTTTGAAGCGGTTCTATGAATCACATTGAATACTGATGATGCAAGCTAGTGTGATACATACTTTTCAAACATTAAAAAAAATCTTATTACCATAAACAAATAATCACCTTAGATTCCAATTTGAAATCACTTTTTTGGAATCATTTTTTTTCGTCTGGTTTTGTTTCCCTTTTGGATTCCTGCGGCCTCGATTGCAAACGCGATTTGTGTACTTTCCAAACTTGTCAGAACTGCACGGGTAAGAGCTTAGAATGTGATTCATTCGCTCTTATTTTGAAACGGGATGAGGAATGGGGTGGGGGAGGGTGGGTAGACAGAGAGCCCTCTTGTCTACTCAGGAGGATGAAAACAGGGGAGGGAAGGGGAAAAGAGAGGAGAAAGGGAGAGAGGAGGAGAAAAGAAGGGGAGAGGAGAAGGAGGAGGAAAGGAGGGAGGGAGAAGAAGGAAAAGGAGGGAAGGAAAAAACAGAAAGGAAAAAAGTGCCGATAGCAGAATCTTCGCTGCCCATGTTAGGGATAAAAGCACCTTTATTGCCTTGACTTCTCCATCTGCCCAGATGTGTCAGGCACGTAGAAGCTGGTTGGATTCGATATTTTAATGACCCGGTTGCGATCTTTTCCTGGACGTATCAAGAAGTCCTGGAGCTTCTAATATTCCTGGAGGGATATCCAGGAAGAGGAAAAGAGGCTCTTTCTTACTTCGTGCGGTCTTCCAAAAGAAGCACCTTTCGCTGGGGAGCGTCGCGGCGTGGAGTGCAATGGGAGGTTTTGTTCTCCTGGGCCACAGGCGTTAGCTGTCAGTGCCCTCCACCACCAGCACCGGCCGGCGCGCGTGGGGAGGTCACGCAGGTCCTCTGCCCTTGTAACAAACTGCAGATTTGGGCTGGTGCCTTAGGGCTCTGGTCCAGTGCACCCGCTGTGTGCACTGCTAGGCGCTAAGATGCCTTCCTTGGCTCACGTGTGGACGGGCACGCAGACACCATACAGAGACATGGGTGCCCACACGCGCGCACATAGACATGGGCGCCGCACTTGACACGGGCACACACGAGCGAGCACGCCCTTGCCCTGGCTCTAATGCCCCCTCCTCTCGCGCGTGGATCGGCCTGGGCCGGTGTGGGGGGACGCCCCAGAAAGCGCCTAACCTTCTTCTGACCCCACTTCGCAGACACCCCGCGGCAGGGCTCCCTTTCTCCCTTGGGTCGTGGGGAGGAGAGGCGCCTCCTCCTCAGCCACCTAGGTTTACAGCCTATCAGAGGAAGGGTGGCGGGGTGGGGGTGCTGGCGGCGAGCCCCCCAGCCCCTCGCTTACCTTCGTGGCGAGGCCAGCTCTTGGGCTTCGCTGCACGGCGCCAGGCCAGGCGCGCGGGGTGGTTGCCGCTGGAGCAGGAGCGGTCGGTGTGTGGATGTCCCGAGGTGAGGGCGCCGCTGTGGCGCCTGAGGCTCCCGGAGCTGTCAGGGGCGGCCGACCTGACCTGCAGAGGCCCAGAGCAAACCCCGCCCTCCGGCCTAGGCCGGCTCCGCAGCGGGGACCGAGACTCCCCGCAGCGTTTCCTGAAGGACCAATCCGGAGCAGGGGGCTGGCCTGGGGAAGGAGGGAGGGACAGGGGGACCGGTAGGGCACCCGGACTCTGGCCTGGACCTCGTAGGCTGTCTTCTATGGCAGCCAGGAGGGAGGGGCAAGAGGGAGGGGACGCGCGGCGCAGGGACACCCAGTGCAGTCGCTCGGGGAGGGGGGTGGTTGGGCCTGACGCAAACAGGACCCCTTCTAGAGCCTGGATGGGAGCAGCTACATGGCCGAAAGCGGGCTGACACAGCTCCCACCAACATACGCCTCGTGCCGAGCCGTTCCAGCACTTCAGCAAGGGTTTCCTTGTCCTTGGGAGACGGTGACCCAGTAATCCTCCCAACAGAAAGGGGGTTTCCAGCAAACCACTGTGACAGCTCCTCCGGGTGAGTCGGGCAGGGTTTAGGTTCTGCAGAAAGAAGTGTTAATGCCACCCTCTGCCTGGATTCCTGGCATACATCAGATTCTCCTGGTGCCACTTTGTCAGTGGCTCCTTAATCTCCTGCTATGGAGATACTCTCGGTTGTGACCTTCAAATGCCAAAGATTGTTTTTCTAGTTTACAAACTAGAAATACTGTCACTGGATTGAATGTAGAGTTGGAAATGGGATTCGCAAAATACTAAAACATACAGGTTATAGTTACTGAAGTTTAAGCCCTTCCTTTTACAGAGAGAGAAAAAAAAAAGAGTTCAGAGGGGTCAGTTAACTTAGCAAGGGTCACACAGCTGATTAATGGCAGAGCCAGGACTGGACACCCTAAGCCATAGTTCTGTGAGCATTCTTTCTACTTCCTCCTGCTCCCCATCCTGTATTGACTGCCAGAGCAACATTTACAAGAGCAAAAGTGTTAAGTAGCAAAACAACCCATGTCTACAATTCTTTTATGGTAGAAATTAGGGAACCCCAAATTTCCTTTTTTGCTATTTGCCAGGCATTGTAATAAACACTTTTACAAAGAGTAACTGACTAAATCCTCATGATAATCTATGGGTTAGGTACTGTTACTGTCATCCTTGTTTTGATAGATGAAGAAACTGAAGCCCAGAGAGGTTATAGGATTTGATCAAGATCACACAACTGTTGAATGCTGGCTCTGGGACTCTAACCCAGTTTGTTTGACTCCAGAGTTGGTGTTCTTTATTATTACTCTCTCTGCTGCCTGTTTGTGTGATGATTAAAGGAACGGGGTCAGGAACGGGAAGGGGAAGAAATAAAAACCTTGGACAGCTCCACGCACGGACGGTTGAGATTGGAAAGAAAATTGAAAAAACCTAAAACAATTGCTTCCTTGGCTTCTGAGAGTGATCATCTACTTATGTGGAACAAGGGTTCTCTTGAGAAAATTTGTTTTTAAAGAGACATGCCCTCCTAAAAAGACAAGAGGTTTTGTTTTTGTCTTTGTTCTTTTTTAAGAGTAGTCTTTGAAACAGTACATGCCATCAGTGTATTTTCTTTCTAAAGCAATAAAATGCAGGGTGAAACTCTACATATTTTTAAAGATATAAAAGACCCCTTGAATTCATTAACATGACAATACACGGAATAAAATTTCATAGAGAAATTGCCTAGAAACCAAGAGCCTCAAACACCCAATCTGACAGAGGCTGTCTGTGACATAGATCCTCACCATCACACCCGAAGAGCATGCACAAGGCAGAGTTGATGCTAGGTTCTAGTAGCCCAAGGTTACTGAAGACTTTAGGCTAATACCATCACATTGGGAGTTAGGATTTCAACATATGAATTGGGAGATACAAAAATTTAGTCCATAACAGAACCCTTCCCAACAACAGAACCCTTCCCAACTTTTATCTTTCTTTCAGGAATCTCTATTTGATACTATGCGTGTCAGACCTTCTCATTCTACTTCATGTCTTTTCTCATATTCTCTAGATTTTTACATTTTGTGCTACATTCTAGGTAATTTCCTCAGATCTATCCTCTGTTCATGAATTTTCTCTTGCACTATATCTAATCAACTGTTTAACCTGCACACTGACTTTATAATGCAAATATAATTAAATCAAGAGGTAGAAGTTTGAGAGTGCCAATTTCAGCATCTTTCACAGCAGGGGGTGAATTTATAGTTTAAAATTGAATCACTTATTTACAACAACTAGTATTATCAAAATCCCTTTTTCCTTAACTTTATAGGAAACTTGTAAGAACTAATATTTCTTGTGGTGAAAAACTTTCTTCTGAGGTTTAGCAATGTATTCTGCTTTCCTTCTTATTTCTGTTAAATCCAATAAAAATTAAACTGAAAGAATTAAAACTAGCATAGTGACCCTGTTTTTATTTTTACTTATTTATATATATATATATATTTTGAGATGGACTCTCACTCTGTCACCCTGGCTGGAGTGCAGTGGCTTGATCTCGGCTCACTGCAACCTCCACCTCCCGGGTTCAAGCTACTCTCCTATCTCAGCTTCCCGAGTAGCTGGGACTACAGATGCATGCCACCATGCCCAACTAATTTCTTTTTGTTTGTTTGTTTTTTGAGACGGAGTCTTGCTCAGTCTCCCAGGCTGGAGTGCAGTGGTGCGATCTCGGCTCACTGCAAGCTCCACCTTCCAGTTTCACTTCATTCTCCTGCCTCAGCCTCCAGAGTAGCTGGGACTCCACAGGCGCCCACCACCACACCCAGCTAATTTTTTTGTATTTTTAGTAGAGACGGGGTTTCACTGTGTTAGCCAAGATGGTCTCGATATCCTGACCTCGTGATTCACCTGCCTTGGCCTCCCAAAGTGCTGGGATTACAGGTGTGAGCCACTGCGCCCTGTCTAATTTTTGTATTTTTAGTAGAGACGGGGTTTCGCCATATTGGTCAGGCTGGTCTCAAACTCCTGACCTCAGGTGATCCACCTGTCTCAGCCTCCCAAAGTGCTGGGCTTAAAGGCATGACAACAGGCATGATAGCTGATGTCTAAGATTCCAAGCTATTGGATCTTCATTTGTGTGTACATATACATGTTTAGATGTGTTTATTTGTATGTACACTTATTGTTATATGTTATATCTACCAAAATTGGCTTATAAGTAAAAGAGTACTCATAAATTAAATAAATAAGCCTAAGCAATTTTAAAGTTCACATGACTTAAGTATAACTTAACTAAACCAGTTAGCTGTTTTATATATATATACTTTAAGTTCTAGGGTACATGTGCACAATGTGCAGGTTTGTTACATATGTATACATGTGCCATGTTGGTGTGCTGCACCCATTAACTCATCATTTACATTAGATATATCTCCTAATGCTATCTCTCCCCCTTTCCTCCACCCCATGACAGGCCCCAGTGTGTAATATTCCCCACCCTGTGTCCAAGTGTTCTCATTGTTCAATTCCCACCCATGAGAGAGAACATGCGGTGTTTGGTTTTCTGTCCTTGCGATAGTTTGCTGAGAATGATGGTTTCCAGCTTCATCCATGTCCCTGCAAAGGACATGAACTCATCCTTTTATATGGCTGCATAATATTCCATGGTGTATATAAGCTAGCTTTAAAATTATTGGTGGAATAAAAACAAAATGCCTTCAGAATTGCCAGCATACATTTTGTCTGAATGTAATGTTTGTCTTTGCCAGATATTTTGAGATGTCAGTGTTTGGTATAGAAGGTTATAAAACTATAAGCCCAGCCAAAACAAAATAATCTTGGTTTGTGTGCTTTCTTTTGACGAATGAGAGTAATCTATAAAAGGAAAATATCTTGGGTCCCCCAAAAATTACTAGGCTGAAGAGAAGATTTGGGCTAGGAGCTGCTTGGGGAAAGCCTGCCTCATATTCTGTTCAATTTCACTGAGATAAATGCATATCTAATTGCCTCCTTTGGAAAGGCTAATCAGAAACTCAGAAGAATGCAGCTGTTCCTTTCACACCTACTTGTGACCTGGAAGCCCCAAGCCCCATCCCCTGCCTTTCTGACCTAACCAATGTTCATTTTACATGTTAATTGATATCTCCTGGCTTCCTTGTTAAAAGTGAAAGAATTGGCTGGGCACGGTGGTTTACACCTGTAATCCCAGTACTTTGGGAGGCCAAAGCGGGCAGATCACGAGGCCAAGAGATTGGGACCATCCTGATCAACATGGTGAAATCCCGTCTCTACTAAAAATACAAAAAAAAAATTAGCTGGGCATGGTGGCGTGCATCTGTAGTCCCAGCTACTCGGGAAGCTGAGATAGGAGAATAGCTTGAACCTGAGAGGCGGAGGTTGCAGTGAGCCGAGATGGCACCACTGCCCTCCAGCCTAGCGACAAGAGTGAGGCTCCATCTCAAAAAAAAAAAAAAAAAGGTGAAAGAATTGAGTACAGTGAATGGAATAAATGTTTTAGGTAAACTTTTTGCATAAATTAAAATCTTAAAGTTATTTCTGACACTCATTTAATATCTAGGTCATTTCCAATTACAAAAGGGTTGTGGACGGGCGTGGTGGCTCAGGCCTGTAATCCCAACAATTTGGGAGGCCTACGTGGGTGGATCACGAGGTCAGGAGATCAAAACTATCCTCACTAACATGGTGAAACCCCGTCTCTACTAAAAACACAAAAAAATTAGCCGGGCGTGGTGGTGGGCGCCTGTAGTCCCAGCTACTCCGGAGCCTGAGACAGGAGAATGGTGTGAACCTGGGAGGCGGAGCTTGCAGTGAGCTGAGATTGGCCACTGCACTCCAGCCTGGGCAACAGAGCGAGACTCCATCTCAAAAAAAAAAAAAGAAAAGGTTGTGATATGGGGAAATATGTTTCTAAAATTGTGGAATTGTTCTTATGTATAAATGCCTGTATCTGATAGTTCAGGATTTATTGCTTTTTAGGGTCTTGCAAAAGTTTTAATTTACCAAGGATGAGAATTCTCCTTAACACATAATTCTGTTTACAAAATGTGCCAGAAAGGGTTATTAGTGAGAAAAAGAATAATTTTGTCTAATTCAGAAGTTATCCAAAAGTTAGTTCAAATTACAGATGTGAAAAGGTTATTTATGAAACAATGTAGTAAGGAATCATTAAGTAGGGAAGAAAACTATAGGAAACGTTTATGTAATAAAATGTTCTTTAAAACCTAATAGAGAATTGGAGACATTTGGCTAATTAACAT